CTATCACATTGCCCTCACACATTATTGAAGTAAATTGCTCAGAGTCCGTGCTGTTCATTCCTAAAAGTTGCAGCAATGAAAAAAAAAATAACATAACAAGAAAGATCTCAGCTTGCTAAACAAGTCACAACAGAAAAGAAAAATAATTTAGTAATGACTTGCAAACATAGGTTTTACAGAATTATTTCCTACGAAATGCAGAAACAAAAACCAGACATATATTTAACAGAAAAAAGTGGTCGTAATTATTTAATTACTTCGCGAATCCATTTCTCCTTTACTGCTAAACATTGGTCGTTAAGGAAACATTTTTACAAGTGGCGTATTTAGAATGAATTAATAAGAACAGAACTTTACATCAGTATCATCCCCAATTTCAGAATTGGGTGAAGAGAAAAAAAGAAAAGGGAACGGAATAAAGAAGAGAAGAATCGCACAATTACCTGAATCACAGAACAAGAGTTCTTCAGTGGATGAAAGCACGGGCGCGAGTAACAATGAAGAAAAGCAATTTTTCGTGTTAGAGGATGTCATGTACTGATACATTTTCCAGATATATTTTAATAACAAATTAATCTGTTAATAAACATCCGTTGTAGTCTAGGTGGTTAGGATACTCGGCTCTCACCCGAGAGACCCGGGTTCAAGTCCCGGCAACGGAATTTTTTAAGAAACTTTCATTATTTTCTTTTTTATTTTCATCTTTTCAGGACGCGTTGCCGCATTGGACCTTTAAATTGAGAAGAAATTAGTTATTAGATTTTTTCTACTCGCAATGAGAATTTCTTATTTTTGGAAGGAAGACAAACAATTATTGTCTCACAAGGAAGAACAAGAGTTTTTCTTATTTTGGAAGGAAGACAGACAATTTTCTTATTTTTGGAAGGAAGACAAACAATTATTGTCTCGGAAGAACAAGAGTTTTTTCATTTTGAATTGTTACTTAAATAATATTATAATAGAAGGGAGTTGTCTCAAATAATAATAATTAATAAATAAAGGGTAGGGAATGCATATATAAATTTACAGTTTACATATATATGC